TGAAATTTAAAAATAAGATATTTATAAGTAGATTCTAAAAAATATTATATAAATTAAATTTATAAATATTTACTTAATAAATTCTCTTTTCTCTCTTATATGTAATAGGAATATAATCAGCATATTCAAGATCTTAAGGAGGAGATGCAGGAAGCCACGAAAGCAGCAGAGCTAATACGGAAAGACATTCAAGCCTTCAGAACTAGGTACTGATAAAGCATTCTTCTACTATTTTTAATATTGCATTTCTACAACCTGCGTTGTAAAGATTTCTTCTTTATATAGCTGTATATTGATTGAATTATTTCTGAATGAGAAAATCAATATTTTGAAAAATCATCGGCTGTGGTTCAGCAGAAAACGCAACTTTGCAACTATTGTAAAATTCTTCAATATGATTGGTATTATATATTTGGATCCATAAGGAATCAAAAGCAAGAATCATTGATCATATTGAAGAATTTTACAATAGTTGCAAAGCTGCTTTCTCTGCTGAACGCAGCCAATAAGTGAAAATTAATTATGAATTTTTTTTCAGATGCACTTTTGTGCATGCGCGAGACACATGTAATACATGTGAGGTGCAACTATTGCTGAGACCTTTCTATGTATTTCCCTGCGGTCATAAATTTCACAGCGATTGTTTAGTGGCAGCGTTAACGCCGATGCTATCCATGGATCAGAGAACAAAATTAGCAGATCTTCAACGACAATTTACAGCTATTTCAAATCGGCCCGAAGATACCACCTCGATAACTTCTGTGTCATTGTCCACGAGAGATAAAATCAAGACTGATATCGATGAATTGGTCGCTTCGGAGTGTCTCTATTGTGGAGAACTTATGATAGAGTAAGTTTAGTAGTTCAGCAGTTACAAAATTCTAAAATTTAAAGCTTAAGAATGTATCGCCCGTATCTCCTTGCCAAAAGATAAATTAAAATTTAAATGTGTTAACATTTATACTTTCATATATAAAAATGAATGAATTATGTAACAATTGTAGAAACAATTGTATGAATATATTCTTTTAATCATACATTTTTATAATTTATTTACTTTATTTGCTGTTGTATTTTTCATTTGTATAATATTTCAACTTTTCACTTTTTGGACAAATATTTTAAAATTTATGCAAAGTTTTATTACATTACAGAGATTAATTCTTCTGTAATAAATAAATAAAGTTTATTTCGAATTTTAATTTACTTTGGCAAGTATTATAAGTAACATATTCTTAAAAAATTGAAATTGCAATATTTTTTAGATCTTAATAAATGATCGGTATAATGATTATTTTATTCGCAGATCAATAGATAAACCATTCATTGAGGAAGAGGATTATGAACGCGTAATGAAGGAATGGACGTAATGAAAATTTCTCACTGAAAATGTGATAGAGTACGCTTATCTCTTTTATTTTTAAGAGATTAAGATTGCACTCTGTATTATACATATATATCTATACATAATAATTGATAATAATAATAGCTTGGCCATAAATTATTATACTCTCAACGTTAAATTTTTAAGACTTGAAATTTTATTAATTTATAGCTATAATCAATTTTTTAAAATGAATTAATTGAAAAAAAATATTACGATATGTTGAATTTTATTTTCAGATTTTTCAGGCTTGCATAATAGTGAAATTATTATAATTATCTAATTATTAGGATTACAATTTGGAGGCTACATATATAATGTAATATATAATTGTATTCAAATTGTATTTATGTGTGTGTGTGTGTGT